GATTAACCCTTAAAGGGTGTGAAAATGAATTGAATTTGAATCTTCTGAATTGTCAAATAACAAATTCAACCACTGAAGTATACATAAAAGTTGTTGGTATGTGTTTAAAACTTGGCTTAATAGAAGTAGCCTACAAGGTTTGTGTAGTTTGGCCACCAGGTCCCACCTTTGATATATAGGATAAGGTTAACAAAGGATCTTGTCCCACCAAATTGGTATTTTATCAAAATTTATTTAACTAATTTTTTTTTTATAGTTATGCATTATTGAATTTGTATAATTTAAATTTGTATCCAACTCATGTTATACTGATTTATAATCATGTATAGTCAAATTTATTATTTTTTCATCAACCATATATGTAACTCATGGATAACTAGTTTGTGTAAACTATTTATTAAAGTTGTCGGATTGGTTAACCTGACTATAACTTAGGTTAAAGATAATTTAAATGATTCGGGATAAATTCTTAATCAATGGCATAGTCGTAATATAATGATGAGAGAGAAAGAGATGTATATTAAAATCAATTTCAAATGTTGTTGGCATGTTGTATATTATAAAAATTATCAGTACTAAGATAAATTTAAGAATTGCATTACATTATTAAGTAATGGCATTTTCGTAATATAATGATGAGAGAGAGGCAATTGCAAAGGAGACATACACAGAAAGGAAATTCGGAACCAGAGTTTAGGCGACTAACTAACTGCGGTTAGAAGGCCCCGTCGAGTCGACTTTATCCTTTCTTTCTCTCTCTGCACGCACTCTCTCTCTCTAAACAACTATATCCTTCTTTCTTCACCCAGATTTCTCTCTCTCTCTCTCCCTCTCTCTCTCTCGGCTTCTCATTTCCGTTGAACAATAGACAAGGCATTCTTTCTGTTCTCTCCGACAACTTCTCACCGGTTTCGGACGAAAGTAAAAGTTTTGGATCACCGGACTTGCATGTAAGTTTACATCTGAAATAATCTCCTCGATCTCGTTAGGTACTTCTTGTGGTTGTGTTGTGTTGGTTTGTTGAATTCTATTAGACTCCGTTTGGATTCTGAGAGAAACTGTGGGGAAAATGGTGTAAAGTTGTAGATAATTGGAAAGTATTAGGGTCACTACGTTTGCTTTTTTTTTTTTGTCTGGCTTAACTGCAATCAAAAGGAACTATGAAGTGAATGTTCTGCTTTTAGATATGTGAATTTGATGGTCTGTTTTCGTTTTTAGTCCCAGTTGATTTAGGTCGTGGTTGATCTTAGCTTGAAACAATTTTTGGTGATTTTTTTTCTTTTTTCTTTTTTATTATTCTTGGGGAGATTAATTTTTTTTCACTAAAATTTTGTTTGTGCAGAAGCTTTTGTTGTAAATTTTATTTCAGATTTTATTTTTTTATCATGATTTTGTTCAAGTTTTTTGTCTAAATTCATGTTTTCGACTTCTCATCGACAAATTTGTTTTTGTATTTTTTATTTTTCAATAGTGTCATTTTTGGTTATTTTTTCCATTTTTGATTTATGAAAAGTGCGATTTATTGCCAGTTTGTTGGGACATGAACACTAGGAATAATTAAGTGAGAATTAGAAAAAGAAATCCAATGTTTATGTTTAGTTGGATTAAAATTGGAATACTATTTCTATAAAAATTGAAAACTAAGATCTGTGGAAGGGAAGTTTCCTTTCAAGGAAAGAAAAATGAAGATTAACCTCTTGTATTTTGAAAATATGGAAATTTTTTGAGAAACTTTGGTTTTTCATTTTTGTAAAATTTAAGTATGTTTTGCGTGGTTATGGTGAATGCGGCAATGCATATGCTGAGTTGTTGCTTTACGAAAAAACAAACATGTTTTTTGAATTTGAGACTCAGAGCCTGCTCATACTTAAAAAAAAAAAAAAAAAAGAGCCTGCTCATACTTGCTTGGCTAATCATGGTTTTCTTTGGTAGTATCAGTATTATGATTTTGCAGTATTCATATTTTCTTTAACCTTTTGTTTTCTTCAGTTAAATTTTGTTCTTATCTGGATTTCCATTAATCAACATATGCATGTATTACACTGATAATTTTCGCATCCGAACAAAATAGAATCTGGGAGGAGGTTTTGACAGAAGGCTTAGGATGTGAGACAACCTAGTCCATCACTTGATAACCAGTAAAATTCTGTTTTTGTCCAAACTCATGATTATGGTTTTGTCAGTATGCGTTCTCTGTCGAAGTTTTGAGAAACTTTCCCTTGTCAGCTGTACTTTTTTAACCCTTGTCATTTATAAATGGCGAGAGTGTTTCATGTGAGGAGTCCATGTTTCCCTTATATTGCTTATCATTTAACACATTTTCGGAGTCCAAGTTTCCATTGTATTGCACGTCATTTAACACATTTTCAATTTCTATGCAGCTTAGAACTTGGGCTTCCAAATTTTTATTTGGGAGTGTTATTTATATGTGATGGATTATAATAATGTTCTTCCTCTAATGACCATGGAATCTGGATGGAGGTTTTTTAGATGGATCAATGGTTGAGCATACCTATTCCATTGGTTAATGACACCGACACGCCTTCCCACCCAACCTTTTCATATGTGAATGGCTATTCTGTGCTTCCTACAAAATCCATGTCATATTACATTCTTCTCCATTTCTACACCTGAGAAACTTTGTATAGGGGATTTTTATTGTCCTGATCTCTGATGCATCTTCTATTATTAAATGTCTTTTCTTTGTCTAAAATTGAATTTTTAAGTTGGCTTTGTTAACTTGCTTTACCATACGATAACGAGTCCAGCACTAAACAAGTAGCAACAATCCAGTTCTGTTTAGACGTGTGCTAATGGATTTGTATGTAAATGTTATCTGTTTTCTTGTATTTGTTAAACATATGTCTTTTATATTTGTGAGAGCAGTCGCTTCTTGGTGGTTCTTCCTTTTCGTTTCAAGAGAAAGCAAGCCACGTCTTTTGGTTGAAGGTAAATGCCTTGAAAGAGGAAGTGGAATAAGGAGCTGTTTGGGAGGGTGGACTTGAAGAAAACAGAAGCTTTGGAGTTTGGAGGAAATTGCGTACCTAGACCTTACAGAAGAATCTCATTTAGAAAGCCTTATCTGTATCTTTTAGCAACTGAACGGGAAGTGCTTTAGGCAAGGACTTTAGAATTGGATGCGCTCCCCCAGCGNTTGCGTACCTAGACCTTACAGAAGAATCTCATTTAGAAAGCCTTATCTGTATCTTTCAGCAACTGAACGGGAAGTGCTTTAGGCAAGGACTTTAGAATTGGATGCGCTCCCCCAGCGAGAAAGGCCTAACCCTGCCAACCAAGTCAAAATCAAAAAGGAAGAAGAGAATGAAAGGAGAAGAGAACTTCGGTTTTTGGTAATTCTCTAGGAGTCATATTTAATGTGCATTGTTCGTGCTTCCCTCGAATTCCACGACAGTTCACACCTTCTGTCCCTCTGTCTGAACCTGTGAACTTTGCTTTAGATTTCCGGAAATGNGGTTTTTGGTAATTCTCTAGGAGTCATATTTAATGTGCATTGTTCGTGCTTCCCTCAAATTCCACGACAGTTCACACCTTCTGTCCCTCTGTCTGAACCTGTGAACTTTGCTTTAGATTTCCGGAAAGGTTAAATTTTTAGTGCTACTATGCATATGTGTGCTACTATGCATATGTGTAATACTATGTCTTTCCTTCGACAAAAAATCTGTGGGGATCTCTTTATGGTCTTGTTTTGTTCATTTACCATTTCAACATATAGTGACTCCCTAACTAGTTGGTTAACCTTTTTCCCTCTTGCCTGAACGTCTCTGCCCTTCCTTCTACGAATGCTATGAATGTTTCCTGCAAATAGTCCTAGCTCTCCTTGAATTCCTAGTGATACCTGTCTGCCCTCAAATTTCACGTTACGCCTATCTTCCCTCTATCCGCCATCTGAATATTTGTTTGACTACTCTACAGTCTTTGATACTTGGTGGCTCTAGGTTGAAAAGTGTGACTAAGCACTCAGCTGGCCTTATTTTGTGCATTTCAATTTACTGATATTTAGATTGGTTTGCTCGTTAGGCCTCTTGATTCTTGCACTGAAAATATTTGAAAAGTTGTGAGAAGAGAAGTTTGGGATCCACATTGTTAAAACCTAGCTAGTTAAATTTTATTTTCACACCTTTTTGCGAGTAGGAAACCTGCAATCAAGATTTTCAATCCTTATCATGCTGATCTGGATGGGTTGCATCCAATGTTGTGTTAAGGTCAAAGTGAAATTTGTTTTCCGAGCTTACTTGGTTTACCCCCATCATTAATATCATCACCATTGATTCCACCTTTATGATAGAGCAGATCTACTGCCTACCACAGTGACATGCCAGCACTGCTGCATAGATGATGTCACATTATTCTAAATCCATTATCCTCTCATCATCTACCACCATTTTTCCCGAGACAGAATACCGCCAACTAATACAGTTATCTTCCACAACCATTATTACCATATTCACCACGTTAATCAAAACACTAAGACCATACAGTTGCTTGTTTTCCTTTTATTTCTTTCTTTCCCATTGTCTTTGTATAGCAGGTTATTGAAAATGCTTAAACTCTGGTAGCCAATTAGGAAGCAAGAAATTGAACAATCTTGCCTTTCCAAAACCATTTTTAAAATCCAAAGGAGCAAATTATTCCTTTTTTACATGCAGTGCTTGCTGAAAGAGCTTGTCTATATGTGAAGCAGCAATGGGATGTTATCCGTTTTACTAGCAATATTATATTGAACAATATATCATAAATTACTTGCATTTTCGGATCTTGGCTGTGCTGTGTTTGTGGAATGGTAGATTCGAACAATAATGTCTGTTGAGCACATTTACAGCCATGCCATATATCAGACTTTCACAAGCTGCCATAGAAACTGAGACATTAAATCTTTTTTGATGCTTGTATGATTAGTATGAATGATTTTAGAATATGAAATATGTGAGTTACACTTTGATTAGCATAATTGTAATTTTTTCTTTTTCTTGCTTAGGTAGGGTTGTGGACATTCCTATTATAGGATTTCTTGACCAGATATTTCCTTTCGAAGTTGTTTGTCCTGATTGATTAGTGCCTGTATGATTAAGTAAACAAAACTTGTTCTACCAGTCATGGGATCAAGATCATACGCTAGTTTTTTGGACTTGGCTTCTGGGGAGCTATTGGATATTCCGCAAACTCCGAGATTTCTTCCACGAGTGATGACGGTTCCTGGAATTATCTCTGATGGTTATGGCAGCAATGATGGGGATTCGGATAGTACATCATCCATTTGTCGTGAGAGGAAAATTATCGTGGCAAATATGCTACCTGTACACGCTCAAAGGGATACAGAAACTGGAAAATGGTGCTTCACTTTGGATCAGGATTCACTATTATTACAATTGAAAGATGGCTTCTCGCCTGAAGCTGACGTTCTATATGTAGGTTCCCTCAAGGTTGAAATAGATGCCAGTGAGCAAGATGAAGTTGCAGAGAAATTATTGGATGATTTTAAATGTGTGCCCACTTTTCTACCTCATGACCTTCAGAAAAAGTTCTATAATGGTTTCTGTAAACAGCAATTGTGGCCTCTATTTCACTACATGCTACCCATGTGCCCAGATCATGGTGACCGCTTTGATCGCGTGCTTTGGCAGGCCTATGTGTCTGCTAATAAACTATTTGCACATAAGGTTATGGAAGTGGTTAATCCTGAGGATGATTGTATTTGGGTTCATGATTATCACCTTATGGTTCTCCCCACTTTTTTGAGGAAATGCTACAACCGAGTCAAGCTCGGCTTCTTTCTCCACAGCCCATTCCCTTCATCAGAAATCTACCGAACTCTGCCAGTTAGAGACGAAATCCTCAAAGGATTGCTTAATTGTGATCTAATCGGTTTTCATACATTTGATTACGCTCGTCACTTTCTGTCATGTTGTAGTAGGATGTTGGGCCTAGACTATGAATCTAAACGAGGGCACATTGGACTTGATTATTTTGGTCGCACAGTTTTCATTAAAATTTTGCCTGTGGGTATTCATATGGGTCGACTTGAATCTGTATTGAATCTTCGTTCAACATCTGATAAAGTCAAAGAAATTCAGGAACAGTTTAAGGGGAAAAAATTGATTCTCGGTATTGATGACATGGACATATTCAAAGGCATCAGTCTGAAACTACTAGCCTTTGAACATCTCTTGCAGCAGCATCAACAGTTACAGGGCCAATTAGTTCTGGTTCAAATAGTCAATCCTGCAAGGAGCTCTGGAAAAGATGTTCACGAAGCAAAGAGGGAGACATATTCAACCGCTAGAAGAATCAATGAAGTTTATGGATCTCCTAATTATGAGCCAGTTATTCTGATCGACCGCCATGTTGCTCGCTATGAGAAGACTGCCTATTATGCTGTGGCAGAATGTTGCATAGTGAATGCCGTAAGGGACGGGATGAACTTAGTGCCGTACAAGTACATTGTTTGCAGACAGGGTTCGCCTCATATGGATGAAGCTATGGGTATCAAAGCGGATTTTCCTCGGACAAGCATGCTTGTTGTGTCGGAGTTCGTCGGTTGTTCACCTTCTTTAAGTGGAGCAATAAGGGTGAACCCATGGGATATCGAATCAGTAGCGGAAGCTTTGAATACGGCAATCACCATTTCTGATTCAGAGAAACAATTACGACATGAGAAACACTATAGATATGTTAGCTCTCACGATGTGGCTTATTGGGCTCGCAGCTTTGTGCAGGATTTGGAAAGAGCATGCCAAGATCATTACCGTAAGCGCTGCTGGGGAATAGGTTTGGGCCTAGGTTTTAGGGTTATTTCACTTTCTCCAAGTTTCCGGAAGTTATCCATTGACCACATTGTCTCTTCATATAAAAGGATGAATAGAAGGGCAATATTTTTGGATTATGATGGTACTGTTGTACCTCAATCCTCTATTATAAAAGCCCCCAGTGCTGAAGTTGTTACTGTGCTGAATGCTCTGTGTAATGATCCCAAGAACACAGTGTTTATCGTTAGTGGGAGAGGAAGAGCTTCCTTGAGTGAGTGGCTCGCTCCATGTGAGAGTCTGGGACTAGCTTCTGAACATGGGTATTTTATGAGGTATGTCAGTAACAAGTGTTCTATGTCCAGCTAATCTTTTCCAACGCTAGTGTGGGAAATGAGTTTTATATTTCTGTTTGTTGTTCCAGGGAGAGTAAAAGCTCTGACTGGGAATCTTTGGTCGCCGACCTTGAGTGGAAGGGAATTGTGGAACCTGTGATGAAATTGTACACAGAGGCCACTGATGGCTCCAACATAGAGATTAAAGAGAGTGCTTTGGTGTGGCACCATCAAGATGCAGACCCCGACTTCGGGTCCTGCCAGGCCAAAGAATTGTTGGATCATTTGGAAAATGTACTTGCAAATGAGCCCGCAGTTGTTAAGAGAGGCCAGCATATTGTTGAAGTTAAACCACAAGTATGAACCCCCCCCTCCCTCCCTCTTGTGTGTGTGTTATATTTGGAGAATTTTTTTTCACTGATGTGCCTTGATCTGCAGGGAGTGACTAAAGGATTAGTTGCAGAGAAGGTTCTCTCAACGATGGTCAATAGTGGGAATCCACCAGATTTTGTTATGTGCATTGGAGATGATAGATCAGATGAAGACATGTTTGAAAGCATATTGAGCACCGTTTCTAGTCCATCCCTTCCTTCAGCTCCGGAGATCTTTGCCTGCACGGTTGGGCGAAAGCCAAGCAAGGCTAAATATTACCTTGATGATACTGTTGATGTAGTGAGGTTGCTTCAAGGCCTTGCTACTGCTTCAAATCCAAAGCCTAGGCATACTGCACAATTCCAGGTTGCATTTGACAGTGTCTTTTGAAGATGAATTGGATCTGCTTTGGTGTTTTGTCAGCTCCCCCACCGATTTGGTGGGTATTGGAATGGTAGGAGACAACTACTTTCTCATGCAATGAAGCTTCTTAGGGGGCCAACTCTTTTTTTTCTCCGTACAGTTTTGCAGTTGTTTGTAATGGTTGCCCTTACTGATTACAAGGCACCATTGATTTGTATAGTTACTTTTTCCCCCCTCATATATAACAGTTTGATTTAAGTTTTTAATCCATTCAATCTCCTTGATGTAGTTTGTGTTCTGATTGGGTTGAGGCTCGATNTTTTTAATCCATTCAATCTCCTTGATGTAGTTTGTGTTCTGATTGGGTTGAGGCTCCGGCTCCGGCTCGGTCTCGGTTTGAACTTCGCTTTGATTAATTTATTAGTCCATTCACTGTGGTTTGGTTAGGTTGGGTTTTGATTCGATTGAGGCCGGGTTTAGCTTTCAAGTCTTAGACTATAACTTGTTAGTTTTATAACCCATTTAATCCTCTCAATTTGCATCCCACCATAAATAATGTTTGAAGTTTAAAATCACAAAAATGATATTGTTGATCTCAATCGATTTTCCACGATTCTTGAACAAGACACCAAAACAATGCATTCTTTGATCCAGCTGCCTCAGCAAAAGCCCTAAAAATTCTTAGACTAAGGTTGTGTTTGACATAATAATAACNCCCATTTAATCCTCTCAATTTGCATCCCACCATAAATAATGTTTGAAGTTTAAAATTACAAAAATGATATTGTTGATCTCAATCGATTTTCCACGATTCTTGAACAAGACACCAAAGCAATGCATTCTTTGATCCAGCTGCCTCAGCAAAAGCCCTCAAAATTCTAAGACTAAGGTTGTGTTGACATCATATCTCGAATATTTCAGGATTTTTTTTAGGGCTTTACTGCTTATTGATTGGGACTTGGGAGAAGGTGATAAGGCAGATAGAACCCACAAACCAAGGAGAAAGTGACATATTTGGGTGGTTATCCTTATCACATAAGGGTCTTTTTCAAGATCACCGAAAACCAAAAATATAAAAGAAACGAAACAGGGGAAGCTGCTAAATCAAATGACTGAGACTGTTCTCACTTTACACCAATCCTGTTTCATCTTTTGATCTTCGAACTGCTGATATGGGTCCGCTCCTCTGTTCTGTCGTTTTCTGTTAATCAAAATGGCATTGTTTTGATCCATTAACAACACTTCTGCTATTAATCCTCAATCATGCTAGCTAATAATATATCAGATTAATTAAGGTAAATAAGTACACGAGTAATGACAGACTAAATACCAGCACCACCAATACCACATAACAACGGTGTGTAAGATCTATTTGTCTACTTATTGTCTTATTATTAAACAGTTATACTATATCAAGATGATGTGGTGTAACTATTCCACCTAATATTTTTTCCACAAAATGACATTTAAAAAACTTTATTATACAACCTGTTTCTTTTTATTTTGTTAGTTTTTTGTGATAAAATAATTATAAATAACTGAAAATATTATGTAAAAAATCGACAGCACCACCACTACATTTAGTTTTNAAATAAGTACACGAGTAATGACAGACTAAATACCAGCACCACCAATACCACATAACCACGGTGTGTAAGATCTATTTGTCTACGTATTGTCTTATTATTAAACAGTTATACTATATCAAGATGATGTGGTGTAACTGTTCCACCTAATATTTTTTTCACAAAATGACATTTAAAAAACTTTATTATACAACCTGTTTCTTTTTATTTTGTTAGTTTTTGTGATAAAATAATTATAAATAACTGAAAATATTATGTAAAAAATCGACAGCACCACCACTACATTTAGTTTTATTACCATTAGAATTTTCAAGCGTAATACCAATCAAGATGTACCTCGTAACACCTACCACATTAGATTTGTTTTACTTTATATATGATATGTTATTTAACATTAGAGCATCAAAATAATATTAATTAATGTTAGAAGATCAGACTCTACACTATAATTCAACACACAATAAATTCAATCTCCCTCTTAAAAATCCGAACAATTATGCCCATGGAGCCTCATGTACGGCAAATAATCCAACTAAACTTGTTGAACTTGTTTTTTCAGGTAAATTTAAAAAAAATTTTAAATTTGGCAAGTTGAACTTAACTAGTTCAATTATTTTGCATATAAATGAGACGAATTTTTAATATTTATTTTTTAAAATAAATTTAAAAGAGTATTCAAATCCGACTTATNAAAATTTAAATTTGGTAAGCTGAACTTAACTAGTTCAATTATTTTGCATATAAACGAGACGAATTTTTAAAATTTATTTTTTAAAATAAATTTAAAAGAGTATTCAAATCCAACTTGTTTAAAAAATAAATTAAACTCAAACTAAACTTAAAGATTATTTCACTCTCATCCCAAATGACTTGTGAAATTATTTGTTGCCAAACAAAAACTTATAATCCTCCCACTATTAGATTCAAAGACAAACATAATCACAGCATATGATTCCATCGCTTTTGGTCTGCCTTTTTTTCTCTCTTTCTCTCTAATTTTCTCTCGTCTCTATCACCTTTTGCCACCATTCCATTCACTCTTCAAGCTGAAAAACCAAAACGCCACACAAAAAAGCCACTCTTCACTTCCTCTCTACTACACAAGAACCCACATGAATTAGGGTTTCATAGAATGCAGAGCTTGAATCATCAGAGCTAAACTCTCTTTGGATTTTCCGGACAGAATGAGAGTCATGGGTAATAATGTGCTGGTCTTGGCTCTCATACTCGTACTTCTGGTTTTCTTGGGAAGTTACTCTTCACCTTCAGCTACTTCTTCACCTGCAAGTGAGTTTGATACATAGATTCTTCTGTTATATATGTAGTTCTTGTAACTTCCATCATTTGATCTGTTTTTATTTTTGAGCATCACCCGTTGGTGGTATGGCTATATATATGAGTATATGCGCTGATTCCGCAGAGATTGTTAGTGGGTTTTTCTCAAATGCTGTCTCTGTTCTGATGAAGTGGTTGTGGTCCCTCAAAGCTACTACCAAAACAGGTATAGATCTCTGATACCGATATATAACCGACATTGAAATGTATGTGTGTGGCTGGATTTTATTTATTTATTTTTTTTTTATTTTTTTTGGGGGGGGGGCGCTTAAGGATTAAGGAGAGTGTAATATAATGAGGTGGGTTTTGTGGGATTTTTTTGTACAGCCCTTTCTGGCCGTCCGATGATGAAGTTTGAGAGTGGGTACATTGTTGAGACTGTTTTCGATGGAAGTAAGCTTGGGATTGAGCCCTACTCTGTTGAGGTGTTACCGGGTGGGGAGCTTCTGGTGTTGGACTCTGTGAACAATAATCTCTACAGGATCTCTACCCCTTTGTCTCAATGTAAGTGTCTCTGTTGCAATGGCTCTTAATTTTCACTAAACTGGTTATGTTTTGTTGAACTTTTGTCTTTGGTTTCTTGGGATAATTGCCTTTATTGTGATTTTGTATTTGTTTAACTTTTGTAGTTGATAGGCACTTGTTGGAATTGTCTTAATGGTAGAAGTAAGGGTAGACCCAAATTAACATCGAACAAAATAATAAGAAAAGATATGAAAATATTTAACTTAAATGAGCGTATAGTGCATGATTGAAATGAACGACGAAGATGGAACAGCCTCAGCTATTAAAAACGAATTGGTGGTTATCATCAGGATTTTGCATTTTTTGGCCTCTTATTGTTTTTGCCTCCTGTCTTAATTAAGTGAAATTTATAAGTTTCCTCAACTGATTATGATGAGTTATCACACTTTGGAGGTCTCAAGTTGTTTTTTTCATAATGTTATATTATTCCTGCGTCGGGAGTATATTGAGCTTTTGGATTGGTTTTCTGTGCCATGCACTAATTAATAGATTTTCATAATTCCTTTTCTTATGAAGCCATGTGCCTTAATGGTTCAGCATCTTCACAAAGTTAGGTCCGTATTTGCTGTTGTACTGGAATAACTTCATGTAATTATTTCTTCATTTAATAGGTGATGGGTTTGAACTTTGAAGTGGTGGCAGAGCAACCATAAGTTTTATCTGTTTTATGATAAAATGTTCTCCCTCTGTTACTAATTATCATACCAAAGGTCATTGGAGTGGTTGGCTCCCTTTGCCCATAGTGCATTTTCTGTTAAAGCTTGGGCTGTCTCTTGCCCAAGCCTTGCTGATAAGTTACTTCTAAGCTTTTTGGTCCTATCAAAAGTTTCTTCACCATCAGTTATATAATTATTATTTCTTGCTGTAAGTTCTTATTTCTCTGCTTATTACCCCACATTTTTTTTTTCAATTAAGTGTTCATAATATATGGTGGAAAATTTCAGTTAACAGACCAAAGCTTGTTGCTGGATCTGCTGAAGGATACTCAGNTTATTACCCCACATTTTTTTTTTCAATTAAGTGTTCATAATATATGGTGGAAAATTGCAGTTAACAGACCAAAGCTTGTTGCTGGATCTGCTGAAGGATACTCAGGACATGTAGATGGTAAACCCAGGGGGGCCAGGATGAACAATCCAAAGGCACTTACTCTGGATGACAGAGGAAACATTTATGTTGCAGACACTGAAAATATGGCAATCAGGAAGATAAGTGATGCAGGTAATTGTAATTTGTGTTCTATTGGCGCATTTTCGGCTGATGGAAGAAGATGCCTTCTTGATCATTTTCTTTATCAAATTATACTTTGATGGTTATTTTCATTATTATTCTCTTCATCTTGTGAGTGTATGCCCAACTTCTTAATGATTGGGCCACAACTAGAACATCTTTCTGAGGCTTTTGCTTCTTTTGGATTAAATTTGTAAGCTGGCTTTTTCTGCTGTAGGGATTAGGATTTGTTGAGTGAACTACTCAAACTATAGTGCAGCTGCTGAAGTAATTGATTACCTTTTTGCAGGGGTAACAACAATTGCAGGAGGTAAATGGGGTCGTCGAGGGGGGCATTTAGATGGACCAAGCGAAGAAGCAAAATTTTCAAATGATTTTGATGTGGTTTACATTGGAAGCAGTTGCTCCCTTCTTGTCATAGACAGGGGAAACCAAGCAATCCGGGAGATCCAACTGCATTTCGATGACTGTGCTTATCAATATGGAAGTGGTTTCCCTCTGGGTAAGCTAAACTGTCAAAATTTCCAGATTTGTTGCTAGATACTTTTCAAATTTACAGATTTGTTGGATATGTTAAACTTCACTGCAGGAATTGTAGTGCTTGTAGCAGCTGGATTCTTTGGCTACATGCTGGCATTGCTGCAAAGCAGGGTTGGTACGAAGGTCTCTTCTGATAATGTGGTTTCATGTCTTCTACTTGGTCTTAAGATTATAGTATCATGATATCAAGTTGATGAACCTCTTGTACTCCATAACTATAGTTTTAGATGTCCTTTACATTTCTTGTGTCTGAAAATAGAAAAGTAACCAAATGAAGTCCCAACGGAAGAAATCTTTTTTAAGGAGGAGGATAACAAAATCACTTTATGCTGAATATGTAGACAAGCTACATGGGTGTATTCACGTTGTATGACACATTACCTTGATGAAAATACAATGGCTTCCGGATGTATGCCTATATGTTCTTTGTTTTTTGACAAATATATTTTTCTGGAATGCTGCCAAACTTATGTTCCATTTGAGCCATTAGCCATAAAGAACAGTATTCTGAAGTGACATTATACATTTTCACTTTTTGACCTTTTGCACTTGAAGGATCAGAAAACAACAACCATATCCCAAAGTCCATTTCAGAAAGCACTGGAATCATCAGTCAGTGCCCCGCTAATTCCCACTGAAGATGAACAAGAAAAGCAAGAAAGCTTCTTTGGATCTCTTGGAAGGCTGCTCATCAATGCTGGAGCCTCTGTTGCGGAAATCTTTGGAGGAATATTTCCATGGTGTAGAAGGAAGCCACAGAATTGTCAAAATCACAGCCAACAGCCGTACCAGCCACAGCAGAAGTATTCAAATACTTGGCCAGTTCAAGCCAGCTTTGTAATACCAGATGAAGATGAGCCCCCTTCTATGGAACCCCAGAACCCTACTCCTCGGAAAACTTACGCTTTCATGACCAAGGATGCCGAAAAAATGCAACAGCTGCGGCAAAGTCGTGCTTTCTACGGCGGATGGGATGGAGACCTCAGCAGCAGCAACAGTCGCTGAAGCATCATCATCATCATCGACATTCTTCATCCACACCTCAAACTTACTACGAGCAAAGCTCTGAGAAAACCAATGAGATTGTGTTTGGAGCAGTTCAGGAGCAAGATGGGCAGCGAGAAGCTGTAAAAATAAAGCCTTTGGATCATGGGAATCACATTTATGATCGTCCTAATATTCGCCCTCGAATCAATTCTATGGGCTACACTAATGGCCATTACATATAAAGATTCTGGTGTTTCAAGCTTGTTGCATCTTGATAGCCTGCATTCAAAATTAGGATATAGCAAGTGTTAAACATACCATGGGAGCTGCGGTGGTTCTGTGCCATGTATACTTGGTGGCCAAAGCATCCTTCTTGAAGAAATAAATGGGAGTCCTGTGTAAAGTTGATGGGATGTTCTTCTTTCCGATGCTCTGTTAAATTCCAAATAAATTTTGGCTTCCTTCTTATGTCTTTCTAGGGCACGAAATAAGGCGTAGTCAAAAAGACTTGTCAACAACAATTTTGATGTTGGCCATAGTCATGGTCATGGCCAATGACCGTAGCATGTGCATTGTTTTGTGCTTGTGTATTATCATACAGAAGAATCGAATCCAAACTACTCCTGTCTCATTGTAGACCTCTCTCTCTCTCTCTCTCACACACACAGACGTGCACATAGAGAGAAAAGAGATTTGTTTGATTTCTTTGTTACTCGGTTTTTTTTGTTTTTGGTGGAGGGGGCTTGGGTGTGTTCAAACTGGCTGAACTGCGTAGTTTGTTGAGAGGGGTGATTACTTTGTAGACTAGTGTTGATTGTTGTTGTGGTGGTGATTGAGTTTATTAGTCATTTTGATTTTTTGGATGGTAGTGTATGTTGTATATTCATATACAGTGTGGTGGTGGTGGTGGTGGTTTGTGCATTGTCGTGTGTGCTGCACCATGTGTGGATATGTTGGTAGCCTGTGTATTCCATTTTGGGAATGCACTAAAGCACTGGTGACTGGTGGTGTGGGTTGATAATGCGTGTGGTGGTAGTTTGGTCAGCAGGTGTGATTGACAATATTTTCGGCAATTGTGGCAAAGAGAGGGTGAGCTTAAGGGGAAGGAAGAGGAAAAAGGAGACGTGAGAATTAATTGTCGGAACAAGATCTTCTCCAATATATTTTCTTTTTAATATTTTTTTTTTTGTGGATAATAGACCCATTATTTACTAGTGGGTCTCTTACTTAACAATGGTTAATAATCCGCTAAGAAAGAAAATTGAAGGAAGAAAGTAATCGAGGGGATCGAGAGTTCGGGTATTTTTGAATTTTTTATGATTTTGTTTTAAATGCTACTATAATCTCAATAAGTAGGCTTATGTGGTTGAATTGAAATTAGAGGGTTGAATTGGAATTAAGACTAAATTAAAATTGATGCTATAGTTTAGGGACAAAAATAGTACGATCCTTCGTTATCTTATTAATATTACCAATCACATTTTAAGGTGAGGTGAGCTCATTAGGTCACTAGTAGGAAACACACAATCTCTCCTCCTAAAAAACTTAATATGAATCATTTATATATTAAAGTCAATAAAAAAAAATATACGAGACAACTCATTTATATAGTAGTTATATATAATTCATACACCATATGAATCTGATGTGATACGATTCATTAAATAAGAATTTAAAAATAATTTAAGTATGAGCGAAGTACTTTTGATATAAACTGACTAACGACTCGACTAGATCCGTCAATTGTGTCTGGTGAAGAGGGATTCATATCAAAAATCACTTTACCCATATTACGATTCGTTTATTAATTCGTATCTAAGGAGTCGCGTCATATCAGATTTATATAATGCATAAATCGTGTATAATTGACATATAAAATAATCATGTTGTATATTTTTTTTAATTTTTAATTTATTTATTAATTGCATCAATTTGTTTATAAAACAAATGATTTAAAGAAAACTNTATTATCTATACTTGACAGGTGGTGTGCAAAACCATTTTTGTGCATCATCAAGTTTTATTACCATTAGAATTTTCAAGCGTAATACCAATCAAGATGTACCTCGTAACACCTACCACATTAGATTTGTTTTACTTTATATATGATATGTTATTTAACATTAGAGCATCAAAATAATATTAATTAATGTTAGAAGATCAGACTCTACACTATAATTCAACACACAATAAATTCAATCTCCCTCTTAAAAATCCGAACAATTATGCCCATGGAGCCTCATGTACGGCAAATAATCCAACTAAACTTGTTGAACTTGTTTTTTCAGGTAAATTTAAAAAAAAATTTAAATTTGGTAAGCTGAACTTAACTAGTTCAATTATTTTGCATATAAACGAGACGAATTTTTAAAATTTATTTTTTAAAATAAATTTAAAAGAGTATTCAAATCCAACTTGTTTAAAAAATAAATTAAACTCAAACTAAACTTAAAGATTATTTCACTCTCATCCCAAATGACTTGTGAAATTATTTGTTGCCAAACAAAAACTTATAATCTTCCCACTATTAGATTCAAAGACAAACATAATCACAGCATACGATTCCATCGCTTTTGGTCTGCCTTTTTTTCTATCTTTCTCTCTAATTTTCTCTCGTCTCTATCACCTTTTGCCACCATTCCATTCACTCTTCAAGCTGAAAAACCAAAACCCCACACAAAAAAGCCACTCTTCACTTCCTCTCTACTACACAAGAACCCACATGAATTAGGGTTTCATAGAATGCAGNTTTTATTCTAGTTCATTAACCAAGAGATTTGTTCTCCCAATGGACCCAATTTTGTTCATTTAAAGTCATGACTCATGAGGGTAGACACAATTGAAGATATTAAAAAAAATACACAAAATATATGCAAGTAAAAAAAATAAAAAATTTAGGGTGGGCCCGGGGCCCCTGGCCCATGTGTGCCTCCTCTACTGTGTATGAGTGTTGTGGACTAATTATCTCTGGCTTAAGCTTGTTAGTTTTGAAAGCACCATTTGGAAATCAATGAGACCCAAAAAGCGAAATGAATTCCTATGAAAAAAGTGAAAATGAAAAACGCAAAACCAACATGTAAATATTTAAAATGGAAATAAGGATGTTGAGTCTCCGTGAAGATCTTCATTATGAACTCTCAAAGTGGGATAGGTAACATGCCAATATGACAATGTGCTTAAGTAAGGTATATTTGCCTGTTACCTCCATTGGCCCTGACTAAACTTATTTAACTTCTTCATATGTATGTCTTAATTTGTTGAAGTTTGGAGAGCAACTATAAGTGAAATATGTTTCTTTTTTTCTCTGAAAAAACTTGTGTTTAGACATCAATCAAAGAAAACCTGTTATAAAGGAATTGGGGATCTTCTTAGGTATTTTACTCACCCCACTCTTAAGAACTGGTATTTTTAAAACATATTTTTTTTTAAGGACAAAGACTTTAGCTTACCCCTTGCTCCAAGTTAAATTTTAAACTTCTCGTTACAAATCCATTACTGATTACACTCTTAACAATGCCCTTTTTTATGCTTGATGATACAAGTCATGGAATATCTTCATGAGGAGAAGGTTATGACACCACATATATTCCCAAAAACAACTCATATTAACCCATGTCATCTTAAAAAATAGTTCAAGTTGCATGATTTCACCTATCGATTTTCACTATACTCTACCTTGCATGCCCCTAAAGAGTCATAGTGATCCTTTTACAATGTTGGAAACTTAGAAAAGTGCTGCTTCCAACTAATTGAATGATGGGTTTAGTCAACCAAAGTATGGGTGATTATTCAAATATCGGAAGAACTTGCTGGGATTTGCGAAGGATGGGATTTAATTGATCCAGAATTTTTAAANTTTTATGGGTAAGCATTTTATGATCAGTAGCCGGGCCAGAAAATATGTTTTAGGCTATGTCCTCTAATATGTATAAATAATGCGATGGACCATAAGTAAGTATACAATATCTATGCAAACAAAAAAATAACTAAAAAAAAGTTAATTATAACTCTTTAAAAAAATGAGGTTAATTATATAAGAGATGTGATCAAAATATCAATGCCAAAGTCACAACTAGTAATATCAATACTAAAGTTTGAAGGTTGCGACGTGCGATGCATGCCACTTCACTGATTGCTGGTGCTTTGTTTGTTTTAGTGCTTTTGGGGAGAACTTGAGAATTGAGTGGGCAAGATTTTTTTTATCCAATTTCTTTCTTTTTTTTAATTTTCAACTCCAAGAGATTCTATAGTTCATTCTGTTTTTATTCTAGTTCATTAACCAAGAGATTTGTTCTCCCAATGGACCCAATTTTGTTCATTTAAAGTCATGACTCATGAGGGTAGACACAATTGAAGATATTAAAAAAAATACACAAAATATATGCAAGTAAAAAAAATAAAAAATTTAGGGTGGGCCCGGGGCCCCTGGCCCATGTGTGCCTCCTCTACTGTGTATGAGTGTTGTGGACTAATTATCTCTGGCTTAAGCTTGTTAGTTTTGAAAGCACCATTTGGAAATCAATGAGACCCAAAAAGCGAAATGAATTCCTATGAAAAAAGTGAAAATGAAAAACGCAAAACCAACATGTAAATATTTAAAATGGAAATAAGGATGTTGAGTCTCCGTGAAGATCTTCATTATGAACTCTCAAAGTGGGATAGGTAACATGCCAATATGACAATGTGCTTAAGTAAGGTATATTTGCCTGTTACCTCCATTGGCCCTGACTAAACTTATTTAACTTCTTCATATGTATGTCTTAATTTGTTGAAGTTTGGAGAGCAACTATAAGTGAAATATGTTTCTTTTTTTCTCTGAAAAAACTTGTGTTTAGACATCAATCAAAGAAAACCTGTTATAAAGGAATTGGGGATCTTCTTAGGTATTTTACTCACCCCACTCTTAAGAACTGGTATTTTTAAAACATATTTTTTTTTAAGGACAAAGACTTTAGCTTACCCCTTGCTCCAAGTTAAATTTTAAACTTCTCGTTACAAATCCATTACTGATTACACTCTTAACAATGCCCTTTTTTATGCTTGATGATACAAGTCATGGAATATCTTCATGAGGAGAAGGTTATGACACCACATATATTCCCAAAAACAACTCATATTAACCCATGTCATCTTAAAAAATAGTTCAAGTTGCATGATTTCACCTATCGATTTTCACTATACTCTACCTTGCATGCCCCCTAAAGAGTCATAGTGATCCTTTTACAATGTTGGAAACTTAGAAAAGTGCTGCTTCCAACTAATTGAATGATGGGTTTAGTCAACCAAAGTATGGGTGATTATTCAAATATCGGAAGAACTTGCTGGGATTTGCGAAGGATGGGATTTAATTGATCCAGAATTTTTAAAGTTGGCTAACGTTTAGTTTGGACCAAATATTTTGGGACTTTAGTGTTAAAACAAAGGTAAGTTGGTTAATGTTGGTCAATGAATGAATTAATTTTGTCGAGAACTTTGTGTTTAAGGGTTTTGGAAAGGCAAGAGGGGCGATTTTAGGGCTGTGACTACTCTAACTTGTGGAGAATGTTGAAGCTAAGAATAAAAAAAGAATTAGGGAATCTTATCTATTTTTCTCGAAGCTTCAACTCCTCGCAAGGGTAAGGTACTTATACAAATATTTTTGTTCCATTAGCTGGTTTGGTCCCATCAATCAAGGGTGTTGGGACGGATGAAATATGTAAAAACCTAACATTGACATTATTTGCGCCAAGTGGTTATCTTAAGGTTTGATCCTACAACATCGTGGCTGTTAGGTTGACACTTTTACCATAAGACCAGACAATGACCCTGAATGCTACACAAATAAGAACTAAAATTTTGTAAAACTCAGTTCCGTGGGAATCATAATATATGTTTCTTCGCATACTAGCTCTCCAAAATAAGTAACTTTGATACTTTGACTGTTCAGACTATTTTAGATTCAGTACATGCTAGATATAATGACTCAATACCATTACTTGACCTAGAGTAGGCACTGTGATTGTTATTTACAACCTCTCTGTAGTAAGTTTAGACATTATCAAAGTACACTTGATAGTTTACCATTGAAATCCAAATACAGGTGAAAATATATTTCTAGGTAACATATAATCCAACTATGCACACAATATATTAACGAGGATGTGTGGACCAAAATGATTCTTAATTCTTGTGAGACTTGCATTCTGTATATTCTCGATTTTAAAGCATATTCATTTTTGTCAAACTAGTCGGTAAATGTGGTATCAAAGAGGAATAAACATATAGCTCAAGGAACTTGATAAAATAGGTTTGCTTTGACTGAATTTTCTCCCTTTTGACATGTAGCTGGGTTTTCAAGTAACTGACCTTTTACGCTTATAAAAAACTGACGTCCTAAGATAGCTAGGCTTGAAGGGCCCACCAAAGTTGTTTACAAGGTGTGAACAAGGAAGTTTCGCCACCCTACAAGGCTACAACTCATTTTGCTGGCATTTCCCCTATATTTAGCATTCCTTCAACTATATGAAGTCTCAGATAAAATAAAAATAAAAAAACTATATGAGGTCAAACTTTCCTCAACTTAATATACCTTGGACATCTTGATACATCTTAAAACTTTGATGAAGTGTGATTTACGACACAAACCAATATGTCAATAAATTGAGGTTAAGTTTGCTACTTGGTAGGACAATGTTATTTAAGGTGTAAAATAAATCAAAGCAAACTGGCCTTCTGAGAGCCTAAGCGAGAAACAAAGCAAAGCGAGCGTTTTAGCAAAGCGAACAATATAAAAAATAAGCTAATATTTTAGTTTGATACTTTGATTACTCATAAATATTCAAGTTTTAACTTTACAAATACAAAATATTTAAATACAATAAAAATAATAAACATCTGCTTATTTTACATAGACAAGATATTAAATATTGAATATTATTGCATTCTAAAAGTAATCAATTGACATAATCACGCCATCTAAATAAAAAGCTAGCAAATATGGGTTCGACTTCTCCCGTGATTGATTAATATCAACTCTGAATAGAGCACTCACAAATTGATTAATCAAATCGAGCATATAGGAAATTGATTAATCATTTTGATTAACCAAGCAAATTGATTAACAAGAGCCTTCATAACAAAACAGAGAATTTTTCATCATCTAATCATAACAAGACAGATTGTTAAATGATACTATGAATCAATCAATTTATTTTATAATATACACATATAACATCATTTCTACTAGGGTTTGGTTAATGTTAAGGAAGAAGAAGAAGGAGGAGGGAGGGAGGAGGAGAAAACAAAAAAAGTATAGCTAGGCGTTCACTTTTCTTACTTGGTTCACTTTTTCCCTTCGTTGCCTAGGCTCGCTTTACTTAGCCTTGCTTCGTCTAGGCTGTTCTCGCTTCGTCTGGGCTATTCAAGGTGACCGCCTAAGTGAGCTTTTCACAACTCTGGGGTAGGAAAAATAAAATTGAGTCATTCGTTTTTATTTGGGAGGGGTTGGGGGGAAGGGCTGCTTCTTGCTCTTGCTTATGATTATACCTTTTCCACCCTGATCATCAAAATGTTGAAAGCTTGACAAAAAGCCTCTTGAGCATGCCACTAAGAGTGCACAGAAGGAGCTTTATTAACTTTAGTTTGTCATATCAGATGGAATAATTATCTGTTGCAATCTTCTAGTGGAGCCAATGAGGTTCGGAATTGTTGATTTCCACTTACCATTGCTAATTTTTATTTTAGATAGTTGTTTTAATACTGGCAATATTGTGACTCTCTATCTCAGGGGACTTATGTTGTTGCAACCTATTTTAGTAGTCTGAAGAGTTAGTACAAAGTGAAATAGTAAAGCCATCAAGGCTAAAGGGCTATGACTGCTCAAATTTGCAAGGGCTTCATAAACATTTTCATCCTGGTTTTTACAACTATGCTTTGTTTTCTTTTGACCAAACCTGTCCCTGCTTCTCGTCTACCTGTGAGAGGTTCTCTGTTTATTCTGGTTCAAGACAGAATTGCTTTTCATTTTTTCCTTTTGTTTGTGATGGAAATGGTTTCCGTATCATTAAATTGAAGATGTTTAGGTGATTAAATGGAATATGCTTACTGTTTCAATGCAGGGACATGATTCGGGCTATACGTGCTTGCAAAACTGCTGCAGAGGAGCGTGCCGTTGTAAGAAAAGAGTGTGCTGCTATCCGTGCATCAGTCGGTGAAAATGATCAAGATTACAGGCACCGGAATCTGGCAAAGCTCATGTTCATTCACATGCTGGGGTACCCCACGCATTTTGGTCAGATGGAATGCTTGAAGTTAATTGCTTCTCCTGGGTTTCCTGAGAAAAGAATGGGATATCTTGGTCTGATGCTGCTTCTTGATGAAAGGCAGGAAGTTCTAATGTTGGTCACGAACTCATTAAAGCAGTATCCATTTTAATCATATTCTTAGTTTATTTGATTTGATCACTTGTTCTTGTATAGAAACCCTCCCCTGCCCCCACTCCCAGCCCTTGAAAAAAGGAATGTACGATGGTAGTCCTTTTAAATGAAAATTTGACAAATTTATTCTGTAGTTCATACTTGCTGGAATGTAAAAATTGATATCTCGGTCCAGAGACCTTAGCTTGTGCACAGAGATCTTAATCACACCAATCAGTATATTGTGGGACTAGCGCTTTGTGCTTTGGGGAATATATGTTCTGCAGAAATGGCTCGTGATCTTGCACCAGAAGTTGAACAATTGCTGCAATTTCGAGATCCAAATGTTCGGAAGAAAGTAAGTCTTTGTAATAGCTTCCTTCTACTTGCCAAGGATTTTATTGCTCTAGGAATACGCATGAATTGGATTTATTTGTTGGAATTACATTCCAACATTGGTGCCTCTTTTTTTTTTCCTTTTGATAGGAAAGTAATTTTATTCACGTAAATTGCAAGGATTCCATGATTTGCAAACAGAGGATTGTGAATATAATATTTGAAATTTATTTGGAAGACTGAACTATCAGGCCAAATTAGCTTGGAACAAAGACCTTGATATAATTAAGATCACTTTTGAGAGGTCCACAGGAACACCCAACTATACCTTCAGTGTTATCATCTCTGGATCTATATCTCTGTACTATCCCTCCTTTTTTGGCAACTTAGTTATTTGAGAGACTTTGAGAGCAACCTAGTGTTTTTTGGGAATCTAGCATACTATTACCAGGTCCTTGAATAATTTTCTTTGCCTTGCATCGAGGTTCGGAGGTTACTTTACACTATAGACCTAATTTTCTTGATTCAATGCAAGACAGCACAAGTAGATAAGCATTACCTGCAAATTCTGATCAATGGTAGGTATCATGTGTTGGACTTGGACAAACTACTAATCAGATGTGATCAGCCTGCTCTCCATGACTTCTGACAGCAATGGAATGATTAGTTGTGAAGATCTATCAAGCACCTCAAGTAATACCCGTAGTGCATTCAAAACTGATTACTAATTCGATGCCATCCACCTTCTGCAAACTTCTAATGGAAAAAAGGCAAGCCTGTGCTCTTTTATAAGGAGATTAATGTCATGGTCATACTAAGTCAATGTGGGACAGCAGAATGCGCACGTTGGCTGAATTTTAATCTAATTTTTTTCTTTTGGTGTACCTGCTGTGGCAGTAGTTTCTCTTCTCTAGAGTCAGCTTTAATCACCTTTTTCATGATGTTATGCTTGTAGCTGTTTTGCTAGGAGTGAGTGTTCTGGACTTTTGTTTTCTTTATGGTTTGTTTATTCCACTTTTGCCCCCGTTGATTATTGTCCTCTTTTTCTAACTTAGTATGCTTTGCTGGGTTTTTCTGGCTAAAAAAACATTTAAAAGGCGCCTTTATGGCTTGGGAGTTGGGATTCCTTGCGAAATATGATTTGACTGCATTTTTGTGCCCTCTTTGACATCTGATTTTTTTTAATGTTCTGCCTTTTATTTATTTCTCACATCACTATATACTCAATTTTTTGTCATGTAGGCAGCGTTATGCTCCATAAGGATTGTGAAGAAAGTTCCAGACCTGGCAGAAATTTTTTTAAATCCTGCTGCTGCTTTACTAAAAGAAAAGCACCATGGAGTTCTTCTGACAGGAGTTCAGCTCTGTACAGATCTATGCAAAGTCAGTGCAGAGGCCCTCGAATATTTCAGAAAGGTAAAGTGAATATGCCTTCTCAATATGTCACGTATAGTATTTGAAAAAAAGAGCATACAGTACATTGAGCTCTGCACAAGTTACTGTTATCAATGTGGAAAAGCTTTTGTGCGCCAACTTTGTGGCTGTATAGTTGTGCAGTTTCTCTTTCTTTTGATGGTGTGAGCTTGAAGACCAGTCAGTAGGAAATTGATTACAATTCTGTCATAAAAGGTCATTCAACACATATGTACAAGCCTATGACTGCACATAGAAGTTTTTTACAAAATCAGTTTTGGCTAATATAATTTAACTGTGCCACCTCCCCATCTGTTTTGGGGTCGGAGGGGAGGGATTCAAACCAACCATGTGTATATAGACTAAACAACTTCATAACCTCAACATGACTTTTTCTTTTTTTTTTTTTGTGTTTTTGTATGATTGGCCTTCGCTACTCGTATCCAGTCTTCTAAGTCTCGCAATAGAGACTTGAATGGTTGATCCCGTCCCCTGTTGTATATTGTTATCTACGTGCTTGGGATTGACGTAGTTTCCGGATATTTTTCCTTTTTTATAGTTTGGCATTCTTGATACAACCCAACATGACTTTTTTTCCTGGTTTTTTTGGTTGTGTGCAAGAAATGCACATCATTTACACTGGGCTTGGTGGCAGGCACAGGTTAGATCATTTCCTTAGATGAAGCATATACTGATTTGCAGTGGTTCTCTTTACTCCTTATGTGGGCTAATAAGCAAATAGTGTTATTACTGTAGGTTCATTGCTGCTTGTCAATTGCAAGGATTTGATTAACCTTGGTTCATCTTAACACTTGTTCATCTGACTGATAGCCCTTAATTTAATGCACATAGAATGCAGAGAAGTAGAGTGCCTCTCCAAAAGTACCAGAGTCGGAGCTGCGAAAAGAAGCATGAACAAAATGTCTAGTCAGTAGCTTAGATGACCAATTACCCTGCTTGAAGACTTATTCCAGTCGCCAAGAAAAATTGTCGTGTTTATCAACTGGAAATATTGACACTACCGTTTGGTAAATTTCGTCACAATGATTTTGGTTCCACAGATATTAAATTTCAGTCAATTCCATTGGAAGAAACCTGCTAGGTCCTGCTTGTTTTTCCATTTACGACTTGGCAAAGAAGTCATGACAATGTGATCTCAAACCTACTTTGTAAGCCTACATTTCAGATTACCAGGCTTCCAAGGAACATTTAGAAAGCTAAATCAGAGTTATATTATCTGAGGGGATCAACAAGCGTATGAATGATTACTATGGGAAAAACGAGGGCAAAACCCAAGGAGAAGTTATCGCCTTCTCTCCCCTATATGATAATGACATTGGCTCAGGTTTAGTGTTTTTATCATAAGTTTTCCCTGGATGAGCGAATAGGGGGTATCAAGTGAGGAATCTCTGCAGTTGAGAGATTTCTGACTGATTTGAGTGCTTGTTGGCTTATACTTTGTCCTTTGGAAAGATGAAATATTTGGTCTTCTACAGCTGTAGAATTGGTAATACAGTTACAATGTCATTATTGAATTATTGGAAAGAGATTTAGAAATTTCTGTACCTACAAAATCTGGTATTTTCTTTTTCGAACACTACCATTGGTTAAATGTTAACAGTGGAAGAAATTCACAGTTGTACAGTAACAACTTTTTTTGTAGAACTGCTTAATGTATAATCTTGTGGGTTTTGAATGCATTTTTAATGGATATAAGTATACACTTGAAAGTTTTTCATATTTTGACTTTTTTTTTTCTCTTTCATTATATTTTCCTCCATTGGTTCAGAAATGTACAGAAGGTTTGGTCAAACTTCTGAAGGATGTTGTGAACAGTCCATATGCACCCGAATATGACGTTTCTGGGATTACAGACCCTTTTCTCCACATTCGATTGCTCAGACTTTTGCATGTGTTGGGCCAAGGAGATGCTGATGCTAGCGATTGCATGAATGACATTCTTGCTCAGGTCAGCTACTGTTTTGATCCTATATGCTGCTATCATGTCTTATATTTTTTAGTTGAAACTGAAAGCATGATTGCTTTAATTATTTGTCTCATCTTGCAACTTGTTTTCTGAGAACTATGATGAGTAATTCCAGGGAGTCAACAATGCTTTCTCAAAATAATGATTGATTTAATAGACTATATCAAAATCTTGAGTAGTTAAAAAGTCCTAGAAATGTGTATGGGAAATTAGATTGGTCATATTTACAAAGGTTAAAGCTTTAAGGAAGANAATGCTTTCTCAAAATAATGATTGATTTAATAGACTATATCAAAATCTTGAGTAGTGAAAAAGTCCTCGAAATGTGTATGGGAAATTAGATTGGTCATATTTACAAAGGTTGAAGCTTTAAGGAAGAANTATATCAAAATCTTGAGTAGTTAAAAAGTCCTAGAAATGTGTATGGGAAATTAGATTGGTCATATTTACAAAGGTTAAAGCTTTAAGGAAGAAACATTTTCCCTCGAGATAAAAAGTCCAAATTATGTCAGAAGAGCGATACGAAGTGCTCATCCACCCAAGTGATACATCACTGGTTTGAGTTTGGAAATCAGTCTCTCCAAGATGGGGATAAGACAACCTACCAATTACCTCACCCATATCCCAACTATAGATGAGAGTCTTGTGCATTGAGTACTACTACTACCTTTATTAAAAAGGCCAAATTATGTTGCATGTTGCAGAGAAATAAAGAAATGAGGAAGGGAAAATAAAATTGTAGGATATGATTCTGAAGGCACTCAAACAACTTGAGAAATTACTAATTTGATTGTCTGTGATCTTGCAAGAATGTTTTTTTTTTTATGTGTATGCTTTATCTAGCAGGGGTTTCACCATAACAATGAGAAAAGATATATGAAAAATGGATTCCATTCTGTTAGAGAAAAATTTCTGTCTAGGATATATAGGCAGAAATATTTTGCACCTTTAGCACTCAAGTTGTGGTTGAGTGGGGAAAAAGGAGCTGGGAGTTACAAAATATATAATTGTATTGTTCAAATGAATTATGTGGTGTTTGGGTAGGACATGCACACGTGTTAGGTGCTAGATGTGTCTATGCTTTGCATGATACATGAGTACTATTGTGTTGATCTTGTGATACATTCTTGATCGATAAATCTTCTAAACATACGATTCTTGTTCCTTCTATCTCCGTCAAGCAGGATGAGTACTATTGTGTTGATCTTGTGATACATTCTTGATCGATAAATCTTCTAAACATACGATTCTTGTTCCTTCTATCTCTGTCAAGCAGGATGAGTACATATACTAGGATTGACCTCTGTAACTCTATTAGAGATGGGTTGATAGGACTCACAGCTCTAAAATATCAAAAATTGAAGAAAATGATATGCTGCACATGTTACCAAGTTTACTTATTGTCTTTCTAACATGCTATGTTCCTTTTCAAGGTAGCTACAAAAACCGAATCCAACAAAAATGCAGGAAATGCCATTCTCTATGAATGTGTTGCAACAATTATGAGCATTGAAGATAATGGAGGTTTACGGGTGCTTGCTATTAATATTCTGGGAAGATTCTTGTCTAACCGAGACAACAATATCAGGTAATTTTTCAATCTTTCGGTTTTGTTGCCTATCCATGGCGCGAAATCCATAACTGGCTAAACAATCATTTCGTTATGCCATTTTGGGCTTTTGAGAAACCGAATTCTCTTATTGTTTGGAAGATACTTTTTGCATGAGTGCATACTGAATCATTGTAAAAGATTAGTAGGACTATTTCTATATCCTATCTCTTTGTTTACCTTCTTTGTAATGGTATATCTTTGGTTAGTTTTCTCATTTATGTGATCAATGTTTTCCTGATGTTATTCTTCCGTTTTGATGCACATTTCATCTTGAAGTTCTTATTCCTTTTGCTGTGATATTACGACTTAATTATGTAAAGTTGTGAACACTTTTGAGTTCCTGACAGCAAACATGAGCTTACAGATGAGGGAAACTCTTGTGTAAGATATAGTTGTGAAAATGTCAGCTGCCTACTCCCAGAAAACGAAAAACGCTAATATGATTTTAAAATGCAATATCATTCAACCATAACCTTTTTAACACACTCCTTTCTGGTTAACGAGATCTTTGCTTGCCTAATTAAATAAAACAGCCTAGATTCTCTGTGTGGTAATAGGCCGATGACATCAATGCATGGAAACTCTTAGAAGGAGACTTTTATCATCATATGAATGATCGTTGGAAGTGATACCATGGGCCAATTCTTGACATATCAGCATTTTGTCTTATTTCTGTGAGATTTCTGGGAACCTGACATGATCACTTGGTTTGCAGTTATTTTGGTCTTTGTACCTCATAATTTTGTTTCTTTCCTTGACGTGCCCTTATGGTTATTAGCGTGCTGTTGGATTGATCTCTCCCATCTTATAGAGTTGGGCGTCACATTTTCTACCAGATATGTTGCATTGAATATGCTGATAAAAGCTATTACAGTTGATACTCAAGCAGTGCAGAGGCATCGAGCCACGATCTTGGAATGTGTGAAGGTATACTTTGGGTTGGTTGATTATTGCTACTTAAAATGTGCAAAGGTTTTTTTTCCCATAGGAGACCTTGTTCTTATTTGTCTGTTCTTGGTGTGTCTAGAAATATACAGTATCAGTTGATAAATAAGTCTTCCGCACTTTATTTTCACTGCTCTAGATATATGTTCTTTTATGCATGTCTTCTGTTGGCTGAGTTGGGATATTCCTGTGCAGTTGTTTGAGCAGAAAATGAAATATTATTCACGTCAATATTTTTTTTTGTTTCCTTTATACCCTTCAGCATTTGATTATCGCTGCTCTAGATTTCTGTTCTTTGACTTATATATTCTGGCGTGGCTGCTTTGGGATATTTCTGGGTACTTATTTGAGCAAAAAATTAAATATTGTGTACATCAAGGTTTTTTTATTTTATTTTCTTTTCTTTATTGTTCTTGAGACAATTGATCTCCTAAATTCTTCTTGCGCTACATTTTGATGTTCTTTACTCTGCTGCTATACATCTAGTTTCTGATAATAGGATTTCCATGTTGTGCCAGTTCCCATTATGCAGTTTTTTCACAGAACCTGAGAATAACCCCGTTTTTATGTGCTGTACAACTTGAGAAGTTCATGAATTTGCTTAATGATTTATCAGGATATGGATGCTTCAATTCGTAAAAGGGCCCTTGAACTTGTATATCTTCTTGTGAATGAAAGCAATGTAAAGCCTTTGACAAAAGAGCTAATTGATTATCTACAAGTAAGCGAACAGGAATTCAAGGGAGATCTTACTGCCAAAATTTGCTCTATTGTGGAAAAGTAAGTTACAAGACTGTCAATTATGAGATTTAAAATCTTCTTCCTTTGTCCAAAAAATTGTAAAGTGGTTGTGATAATAGTAGACATTGATTGTAGTTTATATATATATGTGATTGTGAGCGTTTATGTGCACACTATATATATACATAATCATAAATAATGCGGGAGTGAACTGGAGGCCTCTAAGCTGGGAAATGAGCAGGTTTGATTGATTCTATTCGACTGAGAAATTGTTTGTGACTTTAAGGAAATTTATAATTCTTGTGGACCTTCATTTTTTATGCTCTCTGTTCAATATGTAGTCTCCCAAAATGTCTGCCCCTCGCTCCAGTGCCTTTTTGTTTTTGTTTTATCTAGGGTAGGGTTCACTCTTGCAGTTGATACCCCACAAGAAGCAAGATGATCAGACCCAATAAGGAAAAATAAGAAAAGGAACCATCATCAGTAGAATAGACAGAAATAATAGAATTGGCAACATTAACGATACAGATACTTATATGTCTAGATGAAGCAACACTCAATTTAGTTCCCATTTATAAGTGCTTTTTTTTTTTTTTTTTTTTTTTTTTTGGGGGGGGTGGTGGTGGACTTGTACAAACATATACAGACTCCTACCCCCATCTCAATTTATCAGTAGTTGCAATATATGGTGCTGTAATGTGATTGGTTATGAATGAAACTATATGAACGAGTCAAATTATTTTTTGTCTTCTGACATGACTTAAATATATAGCCTATTAACATTTTACTGTCTGGTGGTGCAGGTTTTCCCCAGAGAAAATTTGGTACATTGATCAGATGCTCAAGGTTCTTTCTGAGGTATGCGGTAAAATCATCAGTTGTCCCATCTATTGATTTTAGGTTGTATGTTTGGGGCTCCTCTTGATGTGTGACTTGCCTATAGATATCTTATTCCTTCTTTTCGTGTCAAAAGAGTTGAGTAACTATTTTCTGCTGTCCTATTGTATCATGGCAGTGCTTAGCACTAAATAATATAGGCCATGGTGTCTTTTCAATTTGTTAGTCTCAACCCATGTTTGTTTTGCCGTTCGCCTTTCCTTTTGGGATCAAACATCCTCATTCATGTGATATAATGCATACCTAGATATTGAAGTTCAATAATGATTATGGAGTGTGAGAGATAAGCTTCAACATGATATACTATTGGGTGACTTGTGCTTAGCTTAACTGCATATGCTAGATTATTGAGTAAATTTGGACTATAATTTTACACCTTTATGCAATCAAAAACCAAGCAGCACCAAATGCTAGATGCATTCTAGGTCTGGATGGCATCTATACAAGCTTCTGATAGTCATCTGAGGCTTAGTTTATTTAAATCAGTATGTTCGAGGTGTCGATGGTAGAATTAACTAGCATATAACTGAATATTCGGAAACGCTATTGTCATACCGAGGTCTACAGTATTTATTCTTTCATTTTCCTTTTGGATAAAGTGCTCTTTATGTCCTGTATCATTATGAATCGAACTGCCGAACTTCTTGCTGTTAGTCAGAGCTGGATATTGCTGCACAGAGATGTGATTCCATCATTTTAATTTCTTCTCGTTGGAAAACAATGCCACATGTGACCTTTTGTATGCCTTTATTTTAGCTTTCTGTATTGTTAGCAATCTTGCATTTCCCTTCCCTGAAAAGTGCTGATGTTGGTGCTATCTTAGTAGGCTGGAAATTATGTGAAGGATGAAGTATGGCATGCCCTTATTGTTTTGATAAGCAACGCTTCGAACCTCCATGGTTATGCAGTAAGGTTGCTATACAAAGCAGTCCAAACTGCTGGTGAACAGGTACTTCATACTTTGTGTGATAGGATAAACCTGTAGTTACGTATCATGGGAGTCTTGTATTATTTAGAACACTTTTTTGTGCTTTTATGTGTACATATTTTTTCTTAATGATTGTTTTATTATTTTCATTAGGAAACTCTTGTTCGAGTGGCAGTGTGGTGCATTGGAGAGTATGGTGAAATGTTGGTCAACAATGTTGGGATGCTTGATGTAGAGGAACCGATGACAGTGAGTTCATAATTCTTATGTTTCCATTTGATCTTCTGGTGATCTATTTTACATTATATTAAACGGTGAGCTGTAGTATATCAATTTGTGAATTTGCATGTGCAGAATGTCTCACTGTAGAGTATTATCAGCGTACTCGGAAATGCACTTATTTAATGTTGAAGTATAAATATTTAAGTTACTCCCAATCCATTAGCTTAAGCTTTTGGACTAGATAATTGTTCAACATTTTACATTACTGATAACACAGGCAGGAACTGTGATAAAGAAAAATTTCAGATGACTAATAGTTAGAGTGGGATGTATTAAACGTTAGAGAATTTTGATATAACACCATAAAGTGGATATCCCGTGCTTAGAATTTAAAGATAGCAACTGTAAGCTTCTCCATTCTTTTTGATTGGCAGATGAATGGAAAATTTAGTCTCATCAGTTAAAAAGTAGGACACTGTGAAGATAATGAGCATTGCCACCCGTTACAAAATTACTCTTTTTCTGTCTATGACAATGGGTGAAACTAGTATGATTGTGTTTCATTCATAGATGACAAGGACAGAAGCAATCAATTAATGCATTGTGAAGTGTGTATGACAGGAATGGCTGCTAATTTAGCAATGAGGTTTTCTACATGAACTTTTATATTGACCTATACCATAACTTTTTGTTGCTTTATGGGATTCAACTTATTTGTTTTGCTCAATTGTCTCTAGCATTGTTGTAAGTATAGTTTGACCGTTATTCCCCTTGATTTTACTGTGTATNTGCATTGTGAAGTGTGTATGACAGGAATGGCTGCTAATTTAGCAATGAGGTTTTCTGCATGAACTTTTATATTGACCTATACCATAACTTTTTGTTACTTTATGGGATTCAACTTATTTGTTTTGCTCAATTGTCTCTAGCATTGTTGTAAGTATAGTTTGATCGTTATTCCCCTTGATTTTACTGTGTATTTCTGCATTCATAGCCAAACTTGTTGTCACACCCTCACCCCGGATCACATAGGGTGGGCCGCAGACCGGCTACCAAGGCCTTAACTAACCAACCCTATGTATAATAAATGCAAAATACTGCAGAAGATAAATAATAAAGTGATCTAATTTATCGACCTAATGAATACTAGACGAATAAACTAAACATCATTATAAACTCATGTAAAAAAATAATTAAACCGTAAGGTTCACTATTCTAAGTATAAGCAACATTGTTTTTAAAATAATTGAATATTTATCTCAAAATTATAAAAGACATTTATTTATGAAGACTTACAATAAAATAAATCTTTAATTTTTTTAATTCCTTATCTATCCGAAGACTTACTCCTGCCCCTGATCCTCACTTAAAAAATGTTAAATGTTTGGATGAGTACAATGACTCATGAATAACAACCACCTCATTAGAGGTGTGAAAATAAATCCCACAGTTTATATACAAAAATAAATTTTGATACATACTTAAGTACAACAAATTGTACCTCAATCCCTCTCACATAATCATGTAAATAAAATGGTCTCATGATCACAGATAACTTTATAAATGAAAAGACATTTATAACCTAAAACATCCACTAATTTTCACAAATAACTTTAAAAATGAAAAGACATTTATGACTCAAAACACTCACACACACATTCAGTCCTAAATACATTTGTCAAATCATGTTTATTACCACTAGCCTAGTAACTGACCCCGTCTTTTGTTACTACCAGCCTGGTAACTGGCCTCGTCTCTTGTTATCACTAATCTGGTAACTGGTCCTATCTCTTATCATTACTAGCCTGATGACTGGCCCCCATGGGCACATTCTTATACCGATCACACCGGTATACAATCTCGTTACCATTTAGACCAGGTAATTCAGTTCTCGTCTCATAAACATGATTTTTACACACACCAAAATTGTCGTTTTAGTTCCAATGCACACAAAATTTTCTTTTTACCACCAAACATCTCTAATGAGGTGTGAAAATAAATCTCACAGTTTATATACAAAAATAAACTTTGATACATACGTAAGTACAACAAATTGTACCTCAATCCCTCTCACATAATCATGTAAACAAAATAATCTCATAATCACAAATAACTTTATAAATGAAAAGATATTTATAACCCAAAACACCAACTCATTTTTACAAATAACTTTATAAATGAAAAGACATTTATAACCAAAAACACTCACACATATATTCAGTCCCAAATACATTTGTCAAATCATGTTTGTTACCACTGGCCTGATAACTGATCCTGTCTCTTGTTACCACTAGCTGGTAACTGATCCTGTCTCTTGTTATCACTAACCTGGTATTTGGTCCCGTCTCTTGTCATCACTAACTTGATGACTGACCCCTATGCACACATTCCTATACCGATCACACCGGTATATAATCTCGTTACTATTTGGACCTGGTAACCCAGTCCCCGTCTCATAAACATGATTTTCAGACACACTAAAACTATCGTTTTAGTCCCAACGCCCACAAAATTTCCTTTTCATCATCAAAGTAATGATATAAAATCATCCCACAAGTTTTCCAACATTTACATGTATAACAGTTTACATTTGTAAAATATTTAATTGCAACCTCAAATATCAACACATATATCATATATATAAAAAATTCACACATACGCATCCACACATTTAATATAAAAAATTCTCTCAAAAAAAGTAGTAAACTACTCACCTTGATTCTAAAAATCTAATTCAAAACACTCTTGCTCAACCTTAATGCAATCACCACTTAATTCAAAATAAGATATAACAATCAATCCCTATTTCTAATTTCGTCGTTTCGCGATGTTATATTTAATTTTTATACTTCCTACCCATTGATATATACTTAATATATCTTTTACATATAAATATCCTTTCTAATGCGAGGTAATAGGGTATGGAAGTATTCTGGGCTGTTTGAATTTTTTTTTTTAAATTTTGGGGTCAAATCATAATTTTTTTGAAACTTTTGGGATCAAAGTGTAATTTCCTTAAAACTAATTTTTTGTTTTCTGGGCTGCCATAAATTCTCCATAATAGTATTTAAGATTCTAGGGACCCATTTTTCGAGAATACAACCTCGATTTGATTTATTAGAGCAACCATTGATTTTTAAACACTTAATCAAAATTTTTAAGGGTTGTTTCAAAATTTCAAAAAATTTTTAAGACTCAGAGCTGTTTTGAAATGACAACATTTGTTTCAAACATATTAGGTCAGTTGTATAAATTACCAAGTTCTATGGTGGTTAAAATTGAGTTTATAAAAGTATGANATTTTTTTAATTCCTTATCTATCCGAAGACTTACTCCTGCCCCTGATCCTCACTTAAAAAATGTTAAATGTTTGGATGAGTACAATGACTCATGAATAACAACCACCTCATTAGAGGTGTGAAAATAAATCCCACAGTTTATATACAAAAATAAATTTTGATACATACTTAAGTACAACAAATTGTACCTCAATCGCTCTCACATAATCATGTAAATAAAATGGTCTCATGATCACAGATAACTTTATAAATGAAAAGACATTTATAACCTAAAACATCCACTAATTTTCACAAATAACTTTAAAAATGAAAAGACATTTATGACTCAAAACACTCACACACACATTCAGTCCTAAATACATTTGTCAAATCATGTTTATTACCACTAGCCTAGTAACTGACCCCGTCTCTTGTTACTACCAGCCTGGTAACTGGCCTCGTCTCTTGTTATCACTAATCTGGTAATTGGCCCCATCTCTTATCATTACTAGCCTGATGACTGGCCCCCATGGGCACATTCTTATACCGATCACACCGGTATACAATCTCGTTACCATTTAGACCAGGTAATTCAGTTCTCGTCTCATAAACATGATTTTTACACACACCAAAACTGTCGTTTTAGTTCCAACGTACACAAAATTTTCTTTTTACCACCAAACACCTCTAATGAGGTGTGAAAATAAATCTCACAGTTTATATACAAAAATAAACTTTGATACATACGTAAGTACAACAAATTGTACCTCAATCCCTCTCACATAATCATGTAAACAAAATAATCTCATAATCACAAATAACTTTATAAATGAAAAGATATTTATAACCCAAAACACCAACTCATTTTTACAAATAACTTTATAAATGAAAAGACATTTATAACCAAAAACACTCACACATATATTCAGTCCCAAATACATTTGTCAAATCATGTTTGTTACCACTGGCCTGATAATTGATCCTGTCTCTTGTTACCACTAGCTGGTAACTGATCCTGTCTCTTGTTATCACTAACCTGGTATTTGGTCCCGTCTCTTGTCATCACTAACTTGATGACTGACCCCTATGCACACATTCCTATACCGATCACACCGGTATATAATCTCGTTACTATTTGGACCTGGTAACCCAGTCCCCGTCTCATAAACATGATTTTCAGACACACTAAAACTATCGTTTTAGTCCCAACGCCCACAAAATTTCCTTTTCATCATCAAAGTAATGATATAAAATCATCCCACAAGTTTTCCAACATTTACATGTATAACAGTTTACATTTGTAAAATATTTAATTGCAACCTCAAATATCAACACATATATCATATATATAAAAAATTCACACATACGCATCCACACATTTAATATAAAAAATTCTCTCAAAAAAAGTAGTAAACTACTCACCTTGATTCTAAAAATCTAATTCAAAACACTCTTGCTCAACCTTAATGCAATCACCACTTAATTCAAAAAAAGATATAACAATCAATCCCTATTTCTAATTTCGTCGTTTCGCGATGCTATATTTAATTTTTATACTTCCTACCCATTGATATATACTTAATATATCTTTTACATATAAATATCCTTTCTAATACGAGGTAATAGGGTATGGAAGTATTCTGGGCTGTTTGAATTTTTTTTTTAAAATTTTGGGGTCAAATCATAATTTTTTTGAAACTTTTGGGATCAAAGTGTAATTTCCTTAAAAAATAATTTTTTGTTTTCGGGGCTGCCATAAATTCTCCATAATAGTATTTAAGATTCTAGGGACCCATTTTTCGAGAATACAACCTCGATTTGATTTATTAGAGCAACCATTGATTTTTAAACACTTAATCAAAATTTTTAAGGGTTGTTTCAAAATTTCAAAAATTTTTTAAGACTCAGAGCTGTTTTGAAATGACAATATTTGTTTCAAACATATTAGGTCAGTTGTATAAATTACCAAGTTCTATGGTGGTTAAAATTGAGTTTATAAAAGTATAAGGGTCAAAACAAAGCTATTTAAAACTAAATGGGAGGTTTTCAAAATTTCAGAATGTTCATCTTCTTCAACCTTATGTATCCAGAAGCTTTGGTCTGTACCTTTTTCTTTCTTCTCCCTTTTCCCAATATCTTCTTAATACAATTACCAACTACATTATGTTTGAACTTGCATATTTTAACCCTATAAACCTCTACCCATATGGATAACTTGCAAGGTATATCAGACTACAAACTTATATATGTATACATATAATGATTAAATACATAATTAAATTTAAATATCAAGACTAACCTTGATGATCAAATCTTCTAATTTTCTTTCTTCTCTAAATTCCCTTCTTTCTTTCTCTTCTTTTTTCTTTACTCGAAACCCTAGCCTTTCCTCTCCTTTCTCTTATTCTAACGTGTGTGTAGGCGTGATTATAGGAAGAAAATATATATATCTATACATATATATGAAGAGTTTGACCTATCCCACAACACTACCATATCTAAAACACATGTAAAACAGTCCCAATAGGTCTCTCTAGCATAAGACTTTTATTAGAGAAACATTAGTCTTCTTTTAATTATTTTTATCCTTATTTATATATAATTACTCTTAGATAGCCAACACACCAAAATAATATAATAATTTTTTTTATATGGGTAATTACACTTGTGGCTTACCGACACAAAATTTTCTGACTCTTTGTTTCCCTAGTCTATAACACGGCCCTTTTGTTTTAATAGTTTCTCTATCCATCATTAACTTTTTTCCAGTAACAATCCGTAGAACCTATTTTGCTTGTCATTGATTAGTCTACTTAATTCTTACTACATCCGTTTCCAAATTTTATTTGATAATCTTCATCTCTAGTGCAAGATTGTATGCCATTAGTCAAGGATGCAGTTACACCCCAAGTAAGCCAAGTCTTGGCTCAGCTATTGGTGGTTGGCAACAGGATTCCTATATCACTATTCTACCGTTTGTGGGGAACATATTTTAGTTGGACCCATATATGCTAAGCTGTCATTCCTTACCCTGACAAGTTAATCATGGTATTCCTCTTTGTTGTCATACCTTCATTAAGGGTTTTGTCACTGTTCCTCACTGTGGTAGCAATAGTTCTTTGCAGCACATGGAAAAACCATCACAGTTTCTTGCATTTTATTTTTGATCAGTGCTACTTCTGCCTTTCTATTATAATAGTAACATAAGTTCAGGATGAAAATTTGATAAAACGTTCAACATTACTGGGGTTCATTCAATATTTATTTGAGGAAAGATACGATGGGATTGGTTTAACCATGTGTCTGATAGTTGACAAGTTTNTGTTGTCATACCTTCATTAAGGGTTTTGTCACTGTTCCTCACTGTGGTAGCAATAGTTCTTTGCAGCACATGGAAAAACCATCACAGTTTCTTGCATTTTATTTTTGATCAGTGCTACTTCTGCCTTTCTATTATAATTGTAACATAAGTTCAGGATGAAAATTTGATAAAACGTTCAACATTACTGGGGTTCATTCAATATTTATTCGAGGAAAGATACGATGGGATTGGTTTAACCATGTGTCTGATAGTTGACAAGTCTNTATATTCAGTCCCAAATACATTTGTCAAATCATGTTTGTTACCACTGGCCTGATAATTGATCCTGTCTCTTGTTACCACTAGCTGGTAACTGATTCCGTCTCTTGTTATCACTAACCTGGTATTTGGTCCCGTCTCTTGTCATCACTAACTTGATGACTGACCCCTATGCACACATTCCTATACCGATCACACCGGTATATAATCTCGTTACTATTTGGACCTGGTAACCCAGTCCCCGTCTCATAAACATGATTTTCAGACACACTAAAACTATCGTTTTAGTCCCAACGCCCACAAAATTTCCTTTTCATCATCAAAGTAATGATATAAAATCATCCCACAAGTTTTCCAACATTTACATGTATAACAGTTTACATTTGTAAAATATTTAATTGCAACCTCAAATATCAACACATATATCATATATATAAAAAATTCACACATACGCATCCACACATTTAATATAAAAAATTCTCTCAAAAAAAGTAGTAAACTACTCACCTTGATTCTAAAAATCTAATTCAAAACACTCTTGCTCAACCTTAATGCAATCACCACTTAATTCAAAAAAAGATATAACAATCAATCCCTATTTCTAATTTCGTCGTTTCGCGATGCTATATTTAATTTTTATACTTCCTACCCATTGATATATACTTAATATATCTTTTACATATAAATATCCTTTCTNAAAAAAAAAAAAGGAACACCAAAAGGGGAAATTCCTTCTTCCCTTTTAAACCTTTTTTTAAGTTTTTCCTAGGTGGTTACTATCTTTATGTTATGAAACTGCTGGATGAGTGTGCAGGTCTGCGCTGGTTGAGAGGATGCCAGTTCTCGACGAGGCAACATACAGTGGAAGGAGATCTGGTTCTTTGCCAGCAGCTGTTTCAACTTCACAAATGGCTGCACTTAATCATCCAAACAGAGTTTCCAAACCCACCACTGCCCCTCTTGTTGATTTGCTTGATCTAAGTTCAGATGACGCTCTGGCACCAAGCTCTTCTGGTGGTGGTGATNATTGATTTTTAAACACTTAATCAAAATTTTTAAGGGTTGTTTCAAAATTTCAAAAATTTTTTAAGACTCAGAGCTGTTTTGAAATGACAATATTTGTTTCAAACATATTAGGTCAGTTGTATAAATTACCAAGTTCTATGGTGGTTAAAATTGAGTTTATAAAAGTATAANATTTTCTTCAGGATCTTCTTGGTGTTGATCTGTTACCCTCTTCTCCACAATCAGGTGAGTTTTTGGGTGTATTATAGTATTATATTCTTATGCTTGCTTGTAAAACTACATTTCTCTGGTACAAGTGCCTCCCAATTCCCAATTATGTCATAGCTTTGACAATTTGTTCTTTGTTTTACCTGCCCTTCGGTTCAAAACTTTCTGGTGGATTATGGTTAAGCCTCTTTCTGAACACCGTGACGTTTTCTAAGATCCTGATTATTCTAGATTTCATTCTTTGAAAGAATGAGTTCCATGGGAAGAAATTTTTAAACCATTCACACCATGTTCAGGTTCTGATACTTTTGTTGATTAGTTCTGTATAACTTGTTCTCATGGAAACTGGAAGCTTCTGGCAGTTAAATTAAGTGAGCCTATACCCATCCATGCCACACCCACGAATTTATTTTCTGTCTGCTAAGCTAATACCTCTCCGAAGGCTTATTTCTGAATAATGCCTATTAATTCCAGTTGATCTCATCACCGATTTGCAACTAGTGGATCAAGTTTTTTATTTTACAAACACCATTTCTGCCAGGTCATTATGGTCCTCACTCAGAATGTTTTTCTCACCGAAAACTTTCACGTAGGCTAACAGAGAAACTTAAATCAGATCCTGATGCTAGCTTATGAGCTGAAATAGCAACTTAAAGAGGACCCATTCACAATTATTACGAGCACTGGAACCTACCCTTGAATGTGCTCTAAAATGTATTGTTTCTTTTTCTGTGTGGACAACTGCTTCTTTGGTTAGATGCGGCTGCGCTACAGTATCTGTTTTGGAGTTTAAAGTGACATCAGTCAGTTAGTATTATTCTTTTTATTTATTTATTTTTTCAAATCAGGAGCAGGCCTCTGAGGCCCTCATTTCTCTCTTTTTGCATTTCAGGCTCAAATCAAGCTCTAAAGAGTGGCACAGATGTCCTATTGGATCTATTGTCGATTGGAACACCTCCATCTCAAAGTGGCTCATCTACACCTGACATAATATCCTCCAGTCAAGATCACAAAACTCCAGTTGGTGCATTAGAGAGATTGTCATCACCTTCTTCCTTACAAGCATCTTCTCCCTCTGGAGGTTCTCCTGTGATTGATTTGTTGGATGAGTTTACTCCAAACCTGCCAATGCCTGGTATTGTCTTGATCTTGCCTGAAGGGTGATGGCAATATATTTTTTTCTGTGAAATATTAATAACCCTTCGTTTTAACAACAGAAAACAATGGTTCTGCTTATCCATCAGTAGTTGCATTTGAGAGCAGCTCCTTGAGGATAATGTTCAACTTTTCAAAGCCCCCTGGAAACCCACAGACAACACATATTGAGGCCAATTTTACAAATAAGTCACCTAATGTATACACAGATTTTATTTTCCAGGCAGCTGTCCCCAAGGTAATACCAGACAGAAATCATCCACTTATCTTTCTTTCTGCCATGGTACATTTTCCTCTCTGTTTGGAAGCATTTTATCATTCTATATCGTCTTCCCTAATTTTTATTTCAAGTGAATCTATACAATTTTTTTTCCTTTAATTATATTGTTTTTTTGGTTAGAATTATCATCACCCAGTGGCCATATATACATAGAAAAAGAAAGTTAAATCTGTGGTGTTTCAAGCAGCCTAAATGTTTTTTCAATTTCCTCATTTTTAAAATGTTTTGGGCATGTGGGAAATCTTAAAGTTCTACTACTTAAATGTTAACTTTTCGTGGAAGGATGCTTTAATGCAATTGCTACTGCAGTTTTTTTTGAATCTATCGGCAGTCATATATCAAGCTTATAATCTTAAGTACTATGTTCTCTGTTTAAATGTTTTGGCCATACAATCTACTTGAATTTTACGTTTCAGTTTGTGCTATATGGTACCTCTCTTTATTTAGTGATGATTACTCCATGCTAGTTCAGATGCTAAGGTGGAGAAGCAAATTTACTTGAAGTACTTTCTTGCTTCCTTTTGTATGCTGCTGTAACATGATTTTGTGTTTTCAATACTCAGTTTCTTCAACTGCACTTGGATCCAGCTACGGGTAATACTCTTCCTGCTAGCGATAGTGGGTCAATTGCACAAAAATTGCGAGTTACCAACAGTCAACATGGCAAGGTATGCTGTCTCTGATCTTTGTGCATTGTTTTCCACCAGCATTAACCACATTTCCATATTACTATCTTAAAAGAATTTCATTGAATATAGCATTCCATGCAATAAAAACTCAGCACTGTTGGTAGAAATTGAACATCAAGACTTAAGAGTTGTTCTGTGTGGTCTGGGAAAGCTGCTGTTCATAAATCCGATTCACCTGAATCACATTGTGTAGTGTTTAGCGTAAAAACTACCTTTGAGATCTCTACTTTGTGCCAGAAACCTGTTGTTTTATGATTTCATTCAGATAAAAGCCAAACTGTAGGTCTTTCAGCTTCCTCTCTCTCTCTCTCTTTCTATTTCTCCTTTTTCTCTTTAATCTTTTGCAATAGTATATAATGAATCTTCTATTTTCAGAAATCCCTAGTAATGCGCATACGGATAGCCTATAGGATGAATAACAAAGATGTATTGGAGGAAGGACAAATCAACAACTTTCCTCGTGATTTGTGAGGCCGAATGGTTGCCTGCACAAGCTCTGATTTTTTTTGTCTTTCAGTCGATGTCTGTGGGTTGTAGCAATTGGGACAGTGAGTCAGAAATGTTGCCTCACATTTTGTTTTCTTTTTTCTTCCCTTACAAGGTGATTTGTGTACATTATGATAAAATACTCGTGTACGTGGTTGTGAGAAATCAAATTTTGCCTCTCGAGGCGCAGATAGAAGGAGCTCGTGTGTCACATTGTGCAGTTGAGGTGTTCCTGGTGCTAGAAGTTCTGATTTTTTTTCAACTTGTATGGGTTATTTGGTCAAGATTCTTTAGACATTC